TTAGTTTTGCTATCTTGTTTCATTAATCCAACATATAATAGCATAGATAATTTGTCTGTTTTTAAGTACATAAATGAAACAAACTTGACTTTGGTAAAACAATAAACTATTGTTGAAAATAAAAATTTCTAACAAATATTAATATAAAAAATGTTGTCGGTACAGGTAAGTTAGGATGTAAGGACATAATACACATGCGACATAGACACAATGTGTATAGTAGATAATATAAAGTACTTTATAAAAAGTATAATAGAGAACAATGGATCGTGGAGAGAAAATATAATATGTTACGCCAATGTAAGCCTTATAGGCATCCGTGATTCATCCTGAGCACGAATACCTTCTCGCGCCTTCAACGGAATTTCCACCCGCTGCTATATTGTGTATGTCTATGCATTAATATTTGTCACTAATGTGTCTTTATCTCGTATCTCGTATCGGTGGAGAAACGCAATGAATTTTCTAGTAAAAAATACGGGTTAACTTTAAGAATAATGGTGTATGTAGCACATTCATGCAACAACACAAATGTTAAACTTATGTACAGTGTAAAGCCAATCACGCACGTGGAATGTCGCTTAGACGTTAATACACACGTGACGCGACATGGAGTCTCGAAAATGCAGGAGTTGCGCAAGCATTCCCAGGATTAGCGACACCAGCAAAAATAAATCTTACTGAAATATAAATATAAACGGAAAAAATTACTACTGTTTTATAATACATCCGCGTGTTCGCTGTAAAAATTGCTGGATATGAAAATGCTTCCTAAGAATTAGACACAATCTTTTTTTAATTGAATTTTTACACAGAAAAAAAAATGTTCTTGAACCAAGTATATAATTTTGAAGAACTTCATCTTCTTGATTTGAGTAAAAAAATTATTAAACTAAGAAATTTTTACTTGGTTTAAGTAAATTTTACTTGCTTCAAGAATTTTTCGCCTTGATTCAAGATAATTACACAGAAAGAAAGGTTCACTTGAGCCAAGAAAATATTTTTCTTCATAATTATTTACTTGGGCGAAAAAAAAAATTTTTTTTTTGACACAAGAAATTTCACTTATTCCAACAACAAATCAATTCTCTTGCTTCAAGAAATACGTTTCTTGATCCAAGACAATTTATTTAAGTCAAGAAAATTTTTCTTGTTTTGAGAAAATTTCTCTCTTGCTCCAAAAAATTAAATATCTTGATAAAAAATTTTCATTAATATTTCTATTGACTAACATGTCAAATGGGAAGATCAAATGATTTTGAATCATTTTTTTTTCATTCAATGTGTATAATTGCGCGCTAAAATGATCTAAAATGGGTATCAAATATTCAAGAGAAAAATTTTCTGAAGATGAGATAATTTTTTTCTCACCTGAAGTAGGTGGCGCTGCTTCCCTAAAGTATCTAAAAATCTTGATCAGATCAAATATAAAAATTTATTGTATCAAGTATTTATGATAATTTAAATTAAGAAAAAATTACTTCCACCAAGAATAGAATTTCAAGAAAAATTTTTACTTCGGCCAACACAACTTCGGTCTTCCTTCGGGAGACCGAAAATTTACTTGAGCCAAGAATTTTGTTCTCCAGTCAAGAAATCTTTCTTTCTGTGTACTATTTTCAAAATTATTTTCTTGGTTCAAGAATTTTCCTCTCGAATCAAGTTAATTTTTTTTTCAGTGTATGAATTTAGTTAAGAGGAAGTATCAGTAAATGAAAATTTTGTATTCCGAATTTAAATTCCATTTAAAGTATGGGATATATGACAAAAATGATAAGCACTTTTTTTATAGAGCATTAAATTTCCTATGAAAAAATTATCTATCATTTTTCCCTATCTTCAATGTTTTCCCTAAAATTTTTTATTAAAAGTTGACAAATTGGTTCCCTCCAAGCCTATTGCTCTGATAATTATAATTAAAAAACTAATAAGTTACACGTGTAACTAAAAATAGTAAAAATAAAAACTCCGACCCAATAGTAACTCTGACCCCAGTCAGACAAACTAGTCTAGACAATTTAAACGATCCATTCAAAATATTGGTAATCATAAATCATAATATTAATTTGGCGCCTCGTAATCTCCGAGCAGAATAGAGAATAGAATAAGAAATAGATAAAGATAACTCGGGATTGAGTAAGTAGAGAGTTAATCAGTGATGTGAAGTTTAAGTACCGGATCAGGCGTATCAGCATCAACAAACTAGCATCCAACATAACATCTAACACCGTGAGAAGCTATGAATAGTAATTGATACTCAAATATAAACACATGCACACACAAACATCTTTATATATCTATATTTATATATTTATATACACATACAAACTATAAATGATCAGTAGATCGATTAGCGTAACATTTGGACGGTATAAATTGCCCGTGAGTGAGATTAGAGACATCCATTACGCCTATAGATCTATGAATAAAAAGTAACTAAAAAGACAAACAAGTATGCTAAGTAAAGAGAACAAGTAACAAAATAAGCTACTGACTGTACTAATATGAAGACGAGACAAGAAGATGAACACGAAGAAGAAAAAGAAGAAGAAGACGATGATAAATAAGAGCAATAAAAGATGAATAGAGAGAATAAAATGAGAAATAGATTAAGAACAAGAAGTAGCGGAAGATGAAGAAGCAACTCCACCAAAAATACCCTACACTATTTTCGATACCATACCTTAAACTTATTCGAGATATTATGCACCAGAGATATTATTATATTATATGTATAATGTAGAATAAGTTTTATCTCAGCACACCCAAACTTAATTCTCGTGCTCATGAATAATAAATAAAACAAGTAAACCCTGAATAGTAAATAAATAACAATAACACGTGCACGTTTGTTAAGTTAAATACCAATAAAAAAAAGTCGTTTTATTATTTGAGAAATATGTGTATATATATATATATATATATATATATATATATACAAGAGAAGAGATATGGTATGGCATAGAAAGAAAAGGCACTACCCGGAGTAGCTATTGCTCCGGGTTGAGTTCAATGATCTTGGTTTACTCTTGCTCTGTAGACTGCTATGCTGCAGACTCAGACTCAGATGTTGGTGCTTAGCTGGTACATGTGAGATGTGAGTTGAGTGTATCCAATGTAGCAGTCACGACAAACTTTTCTGCAGTTCATTCCTTAGTTTAGTTACACATTACATATTGCACTGTTAACAGCACACGCTTTTTGATTTTTATAGTATTTCACATCAGTATTTGTGTTTATGTTCCAGTTTGTTTCATGTTTGTGTATGTATGTGTGAAGAAGGGGGGCACTTGTATATTCTTTTAGTACCAAGTAAAGAAACATTGTTTTTAGGTCTTATTCGCTCCCTCGAGAAGTCTGTTTTATTTCTGCAATCGCCCCAAAAACCATTCATGTAAACATTGCTTTTTTGTTGGCTGTTTTTGGGAAGGATTTATCGGAAAAGGCAACCAAAATACACTTCAAGTGTAAAAGCGAATAATTAGAGTGTAATTAGGGTAAAAGTACCGTTTGCTCGTTGCCGTTTTTGGATAACCAATTTGTTATTGAATTGTGCTGGGCTTTGTGCTTAAATTATCGGTTGTGCGGTTGAAGATGAGTTGGAGATTTTAGTATTAAAATAATTGACTTTTATTTGAGATAGAATTTTAATTTGAGAGTTATAAACTAGAGGAATTTAATGATTATATAGGAATTTCAAATTTTAAATACTGCGAAAATTTTTAAATGTTAAACTCTGATCATTTTTATTGAAATTTTATTGCGTTTGAAAATTAAAAAAACATATTTTTTAAATTTTGTTTTTTATTTAATTTAATGATTCAATCACTCGGAAAAAAGTATGAGCAAATAATTGTCTCCGATTAAAGGGAAGTTTTTTAGAAAAAAAAAAATTTTTTTGATTAAAAATATTTACACTTATAACATTACTATAATGTTTTAAAAATTCCAAAATTTTGCGGCTTAAAACATTATACAATATAAAGTTATGTTTGTTTCAAAACATATATTTCTTAGAGGTGTTTTGATGCTTGCTTCAAAGAACCTTAAGAAAACACCTTCACCTATTTATGTACTAATAAGTAAAAGTACTATCATCAAATAATATTTTTTTAAAGAGAGTTATTGAAGTTTTAAAAATTGATGAATGATATTTGAATCTTAAATTTTAAAGTTTACATCGAAAAACAATACTATGTTTTGCCATGATACTAAATTCAGCAGTCATCTAGTCATTTTTTTATTTTATTTATTAATTGATTTGTTGATTGTTTATTGTTCAATGGCCATGACTTTAAAGCTTCTTGCAGCCATTCAAAAAATATAAACTAAAATTAAGTTTATAAATTTAATTAGTCCTAAATAAATATTTTGAAAAATTAGGATTAATTTAAAAAATAAAATCTTAAAAAATGGTCAGATTTCTGCGAAGAAAAAAAAAAAAAAAAGATTTTCTTTAAACCAAGAAAAATTGCAAAAAAAGAGTTTTTTTCAAGCTAGAAGAAATTTTTCTTCATCACACATATTTTTTTTCTCTGAATATTTTCTTAAGTTACAAAAATTTATTACAGGGCCAAGAATTTTTTTCTTTCTGTTGATCTCACTATCATTTTTTCCAGCAATTGAGTTTCTTGAGTTCCGTTTTTTTTTTTTTTTTTTTTTTTTTAAATCACAGTTTAATGACAATAATCTGATATCATAAAACATAATACTAAAATATTAAATGAATTACAAATATTTTGTTAATAAACAATAAAATTCATCAGAAATTTAATTTTGTTTTTTTTTTATATTATTAATTTCCGTGAATTATCATTATTTATTTATTAATAAAATTGTTTTTGAGGTTTCAATATTTATCCATTCTGATAAAACTTATTAATAGTTTATAACTAAAATTAATTTTGATTTTTTAATAATAATAATAATAATAATAATAATAATAATAATAATAATATAGATAAATAATGATGTGTTATTGTGATTAAAAAATGTTTCAGGAGCGTCTACAGATTTGGTGCCGCAGTTACTTGGTATGTTTGATGAGTTGGCACGTAAGACCGACTGTAACAACTACTACCACAATCATCACCACGGGGAGCACATACCAGCAGCGATTCAAAAACGTTTAAGTCTGGTAGCGCATTCTCAACGTAACTCCATATTCGGTCACATCTGTGCAAACTCACAGCCGCAGTCTCAGCATCAACAACAACAACAACAACAACAGCAGCAGCAGCCACAGCAGCAGCATCTTGAACCGATGCAGGAGCTACGAATCGAGTATAGAGACAACGAGAGTAGAGTTGAGTCAGCAGGAGTTGCCCAAGTCGAAATAACTGTTTGTGATGATGTTAGTGCTCAAGATAAGGCTATTGATCACCTCACCCATCTACATCAGCACCAGCGTCAGGAAAACCAGAGCATTAATTCCTCGGCGCTGGCAGTAGGCCCCAATGAGGATGACAAACGATTGTTCAGACAAGAAATAACCGACGGGAGTGCTGGTGGATTGATGCCAGATTATGCCACCAGGAGACGTAAACACCTCGACCGTCCACTATCAGGCAGTTCAATTGCCTCAAGCACGTCCTCTAGTGGATGCAGTAATCAAGGAAACGCTTGTTCCGCTAATCCCTATTTGGCTTCAGTCGAGTCACTGGCCGATACCTGTGCCAGCTCTCAAGGTTAGTTTTATCAACGCCAGATACAGAACTTTTTTTTTTATTATTAGTTTTCTTTTTAACAGTCAACCTCTGTTCCAAATTTTTTTTCTTATCAGGCTAACTTCTCAGGCGTTCATGAACTCAATTTTTTTTTGCGTTGTTGTCTAGCACTTTATATGACACATGAAGAAATAAAGTATTTTACGTGCAAAGAATTTTACATGAAATGTATCAAGTAAAAAGTTCCAGGTCCATAACCTGATGAATTTAAATTCTGGCAATTTAAACTGCAGAATTCCTGTAAGGAAATCTTATACAGAAAAAAGGATAGCTTAACTCAAGTACAATATTCTTGACTTGAAAAAATTTATAGGATGTCGACCAAAAATCTTTATTTAAAAATACTTTTTTCTTGATGTTGAACATTTTAATTCAAAAGTTTTCAATAATTCAATAAAATAAAAATTGATCTGGTCCGAGTAGGGTTCAAGCCCTATCGTCGGTACTTTTCCTACTATTTTTATCTTGTAATTTTTGACGAAAAAATTTCTACCTCCATATTAAAACTCATTGTTTTTCAATTAAAAAAGTTAATCGCTTCATTCAACTTCTTTAATAATAATAAGTTAAGAAAAATTTATTTTAATAAATTAAAATAAAAACCTATACTTCTTGAAAATAACTCCGGAAACAGCATCGGAAACTTTGACAGAATACTAATTATCGTTTACGCTTTCATAATTTGATAAAATTTTTTAACTTTAAATATAGTTGTAATTTACATGCTCTTGCTTAATTTAATTAAGTTGAACTTTTAATTTTTAATGAGTATTTTAACTTCTGTTTTCAAAAAATTTTATGATAATTGTAAAACTACGGGAACTAAAATACGCTCAAAATGTATCATTGATATTCTTTAAATTAAGTTAATAAAACTTCAATTGAATTCATTTTGCTATACAAATTAATAAAGTTTTAATGAATAGTTTCAGAACTAATCCTTGATAATATTTCTACTTTAAAGTTATTTAATAATTGTAAATCAGCCATACGAAAATTATCTTATATTCCAATTCAATTGTCTTAGTAATTTTATAAATCTTTCGTAATTTTTATTTTTTAAACTAAAATTCACTTTTTTAATTGATTAAATTTTTACAATATTATCTTAGCGTCCTAAAATTATAAATTTTCATAAATTTTTTTCTCCATATACTTGCAATGAAAAAAACATTTTTACTTCCTTAAAATAAAAGAGTAAATAAATAAACATCAATTAAAGTCTAAACCGATAATTGGAATTGATAATTTCAACTAAAATCACTAAAAAGTTAATGAAATACCCAAATATTTTTTCTATTTTTTATGTTTAAGTGTCAATTTCTAGTCTTAGACAAAAAAGAAACTACAAATTAAAGACTTTTGTGTAAATAAAATTTCTCCATGTATAATTACGAAAGACAATGGATCAACAAATGATAACCCGAATTATAAGTTAAACACAATGATTACCACCTCGAACAATAATGGATTTCATTTTTATATGGAAGACAAAGTTGATGAGAAATGATACCTTATATATAAGTACAAAGACCGACAGTAGTCTAATAGTTTTTACACAAGCCCAAGAAATCTCTAAAATAACCTTGAAAAAACTTCTTGCATCTGCGCGAAACTAGTCATTGTATTTATTATCATTAATAACTTGAAGATAAATAAAAAGATTATAACAAGAATAATAATAAAAAAATGTAATAATTGTTGTTTTAGGTTCTGCAGACAGTGGCGTAGTAACAGCCTCTGAAGCGACAAACGCAAACAACATAAACAGAAGAAACAGCCAAAGTATCGAAGATTCACCACTTTTGTATCACCGTGCCCGTTATTGCGATCCAAAACGAAACCCAGTAGAGCGAGTACTGTTAGAAATAGTGGACACTGAGGCGATATACGTGGAGCACCTGCGCCAAGTAATCCAAGGGTACTTGATATTTTGGCGAGACGACCCTGCTTCGTTGCTGCAGGATCTCGAATTGAATGATCTGTTCAGCAATATCGAGGACATATTCCGTTTCAACAGCGAATTTCTAAAGGAAATAGAAGCCTGCGGTTTAGATCCTGTTAGCATCGCTAATACATTTACTAAACACAACTCCGGCTTCAAGGTTTACACGGAATACTGTACAAATTATCCACGTACAGTATCGGTACTTACGGATCTGATGAGTCGTGATGATACTGCTAAAGCATTTCGTGAGAGACAAGCTGCACTGGGTCATGCATTGCCGCTCGGTTCGTTTCTTCTTAAGCCGGTACAGAGAATATTAAAGTACCATTTGTTGTTGGAGAACTTGTCAAAGGAGTACGAGGCTGACGAGACTAGGAAGAGGAGAGACAAAGATTTGTTCGGTAAAGCTAAAGACGATCGTAATATTATTGAGGAGGCATTGGCTACTATGACCGGTATCGCTAAACACATAAATGCTATGAAGCGACGGCACGAACACGCCGTGAGGGTTCAGGAGATACAATCGCTCCTTTACGGATGGCCTGGTCCTGATCTTACCACCAGTGGGGAGCTGATCGCCGAGGGTAGATTCAGAATGAGGGGCGCCAAAGCACCACGACATGCATTTCTTTTCGAACGGATGTTGCTATTGACCAAAAAAAAGGAAGATGGCTTACTTGTTTACAAAGCCCATATTATGGTATACATATATATATATATATTTATGCTTTTTTTACGTATTTTGTGTAGGGGTGTTGGATTTTATTCGAAACGAATCAGACAGTTTGGTTCGAATGATAATAAGATAGGAAAACATCTGGGAATATTTGGTCTTTCTAACGAATGAATTTTTGTCAAAGAATATTTTTTTAATTATGTCAAAGAATTATATTGAAAAATTGTTAAAAATTTAATGAAGTAGATTACGATACGATGATCTTATTAGATCTTTAAAAATATACTGAAATTTTAAAATTTAGTCTTGTAAGAAATCATAGTTTTTATTTTATAAAAGCATCGTTTAAATTTCAATAAAAATTGAGAAAATAAAAGAAAATAACATCAAATATTTTCTAAAATTGATAGTAAAGATTCAGAGCTTGTGATAGTACACGGAGAAAAATTAATTATACTATACCTACTATACAAAAATAGTAACTCTTACTATCAAAAATAATAATTGTAATTATTATAAATTATAACTGTTACAATCGAAGATGGTAACTGTAACCATCTCAGATTGTAAAAATTCTGAAAGGAAAAATAATATAAATTTACTTAATTAAATCCTTTATTTACATTCATATTTTAGCTAATGTACATTTTTTTTCTTTGAAATATTAAAATATTTTTAATTCCCTCCAAAATTTTTTTTTGAAAATTTGTTTTTTTTTTAAGATTAAAAATTTTTTATTTTGAAATTTTAATTTTTTTTTTTAATATGAATTTTATTGAAAATTTCGATTTTTTTGGAAATTTTAAATTTTTTTTCAAAAATTTGACGTTCAAACTTGTTTTAAACAAATAAAAATTTAAATATAATTTCAATCCGAATTTAATCCCGATTTTTTGTGCACTACAACTGCTTTTAGTTTATTCAGAAATGCATCCACGGTAACGCAGATTCTTAAATTTTTTAATATTTTTTACTAGCTTAGATAGTAGTTATTATTATTACTGATGATAACTATAACCATCAGGTTATATTAGAGGAATTACGATTTTGATAATAGTAGTAACTAATTAAAATAATAACAGTTATTATTACTGATTACCATCATAATAGTAGTAGTTACCATCAGGATGATAAATACTACAATTCAGATAGTTTACTTAATTATTTAAATAATATTTACTACTATCGAATTCAGTTGATAGATTTTAACATAACTAGATAATAAACTCTACTATAAAATTTTCTTCGTGTACTAATTAATAAAAAAAGTATCAAAAATGATATTTGTCTATCTTTCTTCATTGCGAGGATGCATAAGTAAATCTACTACGTAAATAAAACGAGACTTAGTATATATTTGACATTTGATACTTGCATTGTCGACAAAATTACCTTATGTAAGATTTTAAAAAAGTTTTTAACTATTTCGACTTATCAAATATTTCAAATATTTGGTTAAATGATGTAAAGTTTCGAGTACTTCCACAGTCCCAAATTTAACACAGATGTCTTAAGAGTGTACTATAAATAATTGATGAATATGATAAATTAAATTTGAGCTAAAATACTATGAAAATTTTATGCCGTTTACTTTTAAATTTGCTGACTATACATTTGATTATATTTTGCTTTATTTAAAAAGTAAAAAATTTTTTTCCATTCTTTGATGTTATTTTTACGTAGAAAGTTTAATTTTTTAAAATTAAAATCATACTTGTAATTTTCTTTATAAATTTATAGATATTTTGGATTATATTAATGCTTCCATATAGGTTAATATATATCATTAAATGAGAGTAGGCTTCCTGGTACGTTGGCTAAATATGGAGTGTTGATGTAGGTTTTGTAAAATGATCATCTAAACGAGAAATGCTATAAAGTATCCAGTTCATATAAATTGCAAATAAGCTTGTCTAAAAAATTAAATTTCAAGATATAACACATTTTTTATTTTATTATTGCACTAAATTTCTTTAAAAGAATAATTTAGGTTACTTCTTGGAATATAAAGATAAAAAATTTAACAGTTTTAGGATCAATTGATGTTGAATTGAATTATTGATTGAAATGTTAAAAGAAAATAGCACAAAATTAGAAATCAAATAAGAATTTTCAATTTTCGCCGACAAGTAAGAAGAACTGAACCACAATTCTTTTATTTTTACAGCTAAAAATAGGCGGAGCCCTATTTTTATATAATTGACCCCCTGAGGGCTTACAATAGATGTAAGAAAAAAATTTTTTTATTCTTGACTGACTTGGAAACAAATGTACTTCGATTTAGTCAAATAGAATTTTTTATTTTACGCCCTTAAAACCCCAGGATTAGTAATAAAAATAAAAATAAATATAAATTTGAAATAAAAAAAGTTTCTTTTCCTTGAAATTCTATTAATTTCAAATAATTACAAGTATAATATTTATTTATAAGAAATTTATATTAAAAAATAATTTTTTTTTTTCAGTGCTCTAACTTGATGTTGATTGAAAGTATACCCGGTGAGCCTTGTAGTTTTCACGTTATTCCATTTGATAATCCACGTTTGCAATATACATTACAGGTATTATTATAATTATTATTATATTTTTTTTTTTCATCTAAGAAATCTTTTTTTTTAAATGAAATAAATAAAAAAAAATTATTTGTCATTTTAGCCAAATTATGTTCTAAATTAATTACGTATGTATGTATGTAAATACTATAAATTTTTACATAAAAGTAAAAAAAAATTAAAAAATTTTTATGAGGAATTAAAAAGTCGTATTTCTTGATATTCAAGTTCATTGATTTTTAAGTCTAATTACGATATTATGTAAACTTGTTTGATATAAAAAAGCAGCGGTTTCATTTAGCAGCAATTTTTATACGATTATTAATAATTTGACACGAAAAGAAAAAAAGAAATCTGATATATCAAAGGGATCAAAGAGAGGGTTTTTTTTTTTTTTAAAAAAAAAAGTACAAAGAAAATAAATAATTAATAATTGAGCCAATTTTATTGAGATTAAAAAAAGGTCAGTATAATAGGGACATTCACCTTCGGCACTCTCGCCTTCTATATATAGTGAGAGACTTTTATCTTTTACCCAGCCTGGATGTTTAGCTGCTGGAGCAGATAATTTTCTTCATGAGATTGTATAAAAAAGAATAACTCCGCTGTATATATTATGCATTATGGCTTCACTATTCGCACATAAATATTTTTTAAACGTACACGTTGATCTGTGTAATTTATAATAACCCTTTCATGTCCGAAATTTGTTATTTGTTTGAGAAATTTATCTTTGTCTTCATCATACAATAAATATTATTTTTTAGTAGTTACAAAGAAATTCTTTTTATTTTCTTTTAGAAAAATAAATAATAGAATTTTTAAGCTTTGATTTTATTTTTTTCTATTATATTAAAAAAAAATTTTTTTTTATTTAAAATTACAAAAAATTTTAATTTTTAAGAAAATCTAAAATTGTCAATTTTTAAATTTTCAAAAAAGTCAAGCCAAATAATTGTATTAAAATTAAGAAATAAGGTAAAGTACCCAGTAGTTGAACAGGTTTCAAAGTAAAACGTATTTGACCTTACTTTTAATATATAAATATGTAATTATTAGTTCAAATTAGTGATTTTCATGAAAATATAAACAATTTTGAATTGATTGAAGTGCAAAATAACGCAAATAATTGAATATTTATAATTTGACAACATTTTTAAGATAGACTATGAAAGGAGTAGCAGTTGAACAATCAATTCTGACAAGCCACAGTAGTTGAACACTCTGGGAGCAGTAGTTGAACTAATAAAATATATGACAATAGGCATACCAAAAATTTTTAATGTTTTATTGAAATATTCAAAGATTTATAACATATTATTGAATAATGCTAAAAATAATACTATAAATATTTAATATGTTCATTTAAAAATGAGAAATATTTGTATTTGATTTATTAACTACATTTTTTATGAATGACAAAGTAAATTTTCAATTATAAATCAAAAAAACTCAATTCAAAACGTTCAATAATTTTTAACTATACTAATTTTTAGTTATAAAAGTTATTTAATTTACAGTAATTAATACAAAAAAAAAATACTGATCACTAGTCTATAAACCTATTAAAGGTTAGAGTGCTGTTAAAATTATACGGTCCCAACTTGTTCAAGTTCTGGGTACCGCTTTGAAAATTGGGAGGTATAGTTGAACACTAAAATTTAATATAAAAATTATAGTTTATGTCTTTGCAAAAATTATGTATTATTTAGAAAAGACTATTTCATTGAGTGGTACAATTTTTTTCACTTAAAATGATGATACACCGTTTTTTTTACTGATTATTCGGTTTACGGTTTAGTACTTTTTTCATGAAAAAAATAGCATCTATCGGTTATTCTCGACATGTCAACTTTAAAGTTAAAAATGTAATTGTTTTGATTTATAATTGAAAAAACTTACCAAAATCAATTCCTGTATCATTGAATAATTATAACATGCACATATGACTTATAATATATTTACAGATTTTGTATTACAGCAGTTCTAAAAGTCTGTTCAACTACTGGTCCCATTTTTAGAAGTGTTCAAGTACTGGGTACTTTACCTTATCTAATTATTTTTGGCATTTTTTAAACAAATAATTTATAGCTAATTTAGATCTAATTTTTTTTTAACGAAAAATCAAAAAATTATCTAGTTTCTGTTAATTTAAGTGTCATACTAAAATAATAAAAATATTAACAAAATATTTTCATCAATTAATGAAGATTTTTTTTTTTTTTTATTAAAGGCACGAAACTTGGAACAAAAACGCGAGTGGACTCTTCAAATAAAACGAGTGATGCTAGAAAACTACAACGCCGTGATTCCTATCCATGCACGACAATTAGTTCTACAACTCGGACAAACCCACCACGAGGACGAAAATACGAACGTCAGCGACCGCGGATCCGCAAAGAAGTTGTACTCAGCACCTCCGGAGTACTTGGAGCGTCGAAAGTTGGAAAAAGAACGCCGGCGCTCAGAAGCCGGCATCCGTCAAAAGTTGAAGAAAACCATGTCCTCAAAAACACCGGAGCCCAACCAAAATCAATCTACCCCAGATTCACCCGCATCCTCTCGAAAATCAACCGAAGACCCGAACATGAATCGCGATCGAAGCCTGAACCGATCTCTCGACGGCCGCACCTCTAATAAAGTGAAGGATCGTTTTACAAACTGGCGACGTAAATCCGAACCTGGTTTCCAATCTTACATCTCGCTGAACCAGTCCGACGACGAAAAAGATGGAGATATAGTTACTGAAGCTACCGATTCTTTGATACAAGCTGACTCATCAGCACCCGAAATAGCCAATTCAGCAAACCCCAACACCAGCGCTGTTAATGACACGTATAGTAATAATTTGTCAAGTAAAAATTTACCTTCTGCAAACATAAATACCAAAGATAAAGATACCAACGAACAACAACAACAATTGCAACAAATACCGCAAGAACAAACACAACCACGGACTGTTGAAGAAATAGTCGGGCATATTTTAATGCAGAACCAGGAATTTCAACGTCTGTTGGAAAAACAGCGAAATAACAGTCTCGCAAATGTCAGGAATCAGCGGTTTAAAAAACATCAAAGGTCTGTTGACACTTCTGATGACAGTGACACCGGTGAACAAAATTATTCAATTGATTTTAACAACATTAATAATAGTAATAGTAACAACAATAATAATAATAATAATAATAATAATAATTCTAGAGTAAGACCAAACAGAATAGTAAGACGAGAGCACAGACTAGTAAGAACCAACAACGCCTGGAACAGTTTATCTTCCCAAAGTTCTCGGGATACTCAGCCCAGTTTGCAGCTCCAGTACAACAACTTGCGGGTTGACGACAACAAGAACCAAGTTCAATCTAACAACAAAATAAACCGGGTTCAAGAAAAAAAAGCTGTATTTGAAGCCTTTAAGCGACAGAGTATCGTTACGGAGAGCAAGATCATTAAAACTGCACTGCGCATGCGCGACAACAGTCCCGCGAGTGCCGAAAAAATGGCCGGCAAAGATATTGATACTGGCGATGTTGATGACGCGTTGTGTAATTCTCATTATGGAGTGTGGGATGAATTGAAGAGCGAACGATGTTCGAAGACTAGTTCTGACAGTCCAACTAGGCCTGCAGTTTGGCTGACAAAACTCTGTCAGGACTTGCCGAGCTCGCCGCAAAAAAGCGGATCATTACCCCGGAGCTTTCAGATAAATCAAAATAATCCGTCGACGGGGTCGGGGACAGGAACAGATATGCAGCAGATTAGCAAGGCTAGGTTCTTGCAGCGAGATGGTAAGCCGATGAGCGAACGGCCTTTTACAATAGCCTCTGACAAGCCCGCAGAGATAAATATCGATGATGTCGAGCAGCGGTATACCACTGCGGATAATAAAATTAATTTGGGCAATAAATTCAAAGAGTCTACCTCTACTTCGAGATTTTACTCGGTGGAGGATAATCTGACGGATGCTGACTCGGATGTCCAGACCACCACCAGTGCGAACATTCATCCAGATCACAAGATTTACAGGGTAAATATCAGTGGAAGCATGCTGAAGAACGTGCTGTCCAAAGCTGGCAGTAGATTACAAGGGTTGAGGTCCACTGTCAGCGCGGAGACTCTTGAATGTGTGGATGAGTTTGATAAGACTAAGAGATTTGCCAGCAAAATTAAGAAGAAGAAATTCAGCAAGTCGAGACTGTCGAGAGAATCTTCGACGGATGTTGATGAACCGATCGGATGCATGCCTGGTAATTCGACGATGGATTTAACAGACATGTATTATAAACAAGGAAGTTCTGGACTTGGAGCTCGCATTGCCCAGGCTGACTATGCAGACCCGTCAACGCTATTTTTTGACATCAAGCGCGGTGAATCATGTGCACAAATTTCTAACAGTAATTTAGATAATGAAGATGATATGGTTGGCAAAGATGTTGCGGACAGGCAGAGGCTGCCCAGTGATGGTGATAATTATTATGAGAAATGCTTTGAATCTATTGAAAATTATGTTGATGAGACTGATGACGCCTTTAGGGATAGTGCAATATTCAGCGATGGCGAGGAAGTTATTTCGCCGTTTGTTAAAAGTAAACTTAGGATGTCGCTTAATGAAGTTAGTTCTACTCAAGGGGCTGTAAGTGATAGAACCGTGGGAAAACCAAAAGTAGCGCCACCTGTGCCTGTAAAGAAGAAAACTATCAGGAATACCAAATTTATTTGCGATGACAGCAAACCTGACATTGCGCTGAAGCCGGATAACCTGAAAGTACGCACTAGGTTTATTGTTGGTAATGCTGGCTATGCTGGAAATATTGATGAGTGCGTTAAAATTACTGTTAAGGAGAGAGGCTCGACTCCTGTTTCGATACCCAGTTATTTGACGAGCAAGGGGGAATTTTGTAGCGAAAATGTTAATGGAGATAATGGTAATGAGGGAAGAAATAATTCTAATGATGTTTCAGCGGGACAGAGTCAAGCAGGTTGGGTTAAGAAAATGGTGGGACAACTGCAAGCACAAATAGAAACTCTGTAATGTTATTTACTAATAGTTTATGGTTATTGTTAAAATCAACATATCAATATTTTAATTGAAGGTTATATAGTTTGTTTGAATGATAAAAATGAATATAAAATTGCCATCAAGTACAATTGAAATTCAATTGTCTATAACATAATTTAGAAAGCAATTCATTTTATTATTATTATTATTATTATTTTTATTATTAAAGAAATAAAAAGTAAATAATTGTGTTGATTTTAATTAAAGATTGTCATTTTATATTTATTTAATTCTTATCTTTAAACGAGTTATCATTTATTGAATTTATCTAACTTATCTTTACTTGTTTTATATATTATATTATTATAATTATTATTATTATTATCATTTATTCCAGACAACGTACAATCAATGTTTATCTAAGTTTATTATTTTTTTTTTTTATTTACATCAGTTATAATTTTATTAGTTTTCGTTAAGGTTATTCGTAGATAGTATTTTTTTTCGGTTTGTGTATTAACCTTGAAGTATCAACTATTACAATTTAATTGATAAATTTATAAATATTAAAACGCTAATTTAAAAAAATTTAGATTTTTTCAATTATATTTTATCAATTAACAAGGCAATGAAATAAGGTTGAAATTACTTAAATAATTAAAATTTTTGCCGAGAACAAAGTGGCCTTAGATAAATTATTAAATTGTAGCGCATCGCTAAATTAATAAGCCCAAAATAAATCTATCAAACAACTAAATTAGATATTAACTAAAAAATATGTAATTACGTTGCAATAACGTAAATTGCCATTGAAATTAGAATAATAATTTTAGTATTATATGTAACTTAAAACCTATAAAATTGTAAAAAAATAATTAAGAATTAGTGTAAGAAAAACTTGTATTTTAACTTTTTTTATTATCAGAACTTCTATTTACAATAAATTTTGGCTAGTCGTGTGTATACATAATAAGTAAATAAATAGTTGAATAATAGATAATAAATTATTTGTTTTATTATTCATTTCTTTTCTTCTTCCGCAATATATTTTTGTAAAAGAACTCATTACGGCAAATTAATGCGTCGAAAAAAAAGAAACAAATTTTTTAATTAAAATCATTAATAGTGACAATAATATTAATAATTTGTTATACACATTATATATAACTTAATTAATTTATTTATATCGTTCAATAGATAAATAATAATATTAAATATTAACTATTAGCATGCGATCTATCCACCTAAATCCCCATTTTTTTCAGTCGATAATTAAAACATAATCTCATTTGTTTAATATTTACTATGATTATTGTTTAATTAATGGTGTTCTTTATTCATTTATTTAATTAATTAATTGTTTAATATTAATAGTAATAGAAGTTGAAGAAAAAAACATTTGGTAATTAATTTTTCATAAAAATTTATTATCCACCAAACAAGTATTTTGACACAAAATGTTAAAAGGATAAAATTAATTAATGGAAAATTAGCGGAGGCAAAGCTATCGATCTGGTCATATCGAGCAGGTACATTTTTTCGCTGTGCTAATTTTTTTACATATAATTATTGAAGAGATTTATTTATAATTATTTATACGATTAAATTAAAAAATAATTATGATTCTAATATTTAAAAGCAAAATTCTACTGTAATCTTAAATTATTATGTATTACAGGTGGAACTATATAATTTATTAATTTATTCAACTAAAGGGTATTAATTGCTAATTTTTTTTATTTGTAATTTAATTGTCTATTGTTTAATTTTAATTAACAATTGCATCATCATAATAATAAACTAACTGATTTTTTACAGCGATAGTATAACTAAATAATCAAACGGTAATCAGTTTTGCATATTTTAACCGCTATTTGCAAGTAACAATACCCGGAAAAATAATTTAGATCTAACAGTCCAATTAGATTGTTGTTTTTCTTTGTTAATTTTAGATTCATAAAAGAATCATTAGATTTCAAATTATTGGAAAAAACATAATTAATTTTTTTTAAATAATACTACAACAAAGAAAAATTTTCTATCCAACTAACAAGGAAAAAAAAATTAATATTCTTAATAACAAAAACCTGTGTAGACCTCTGCTATAATTTCATACTCGTGACATATGTTCAAAATTATCATACCGAAAATTCATCACATGATTCATAAGAGTCAGTACAAAGACATTGATTTTTATTTACTAACCATATGGTCACCAATGCGATACCGTAGTAATTCTTCCATACAATCAAACTTTATGTAATAGATACATTAAAAAAAAATTAACAATTAATACCTTTACATTAATGTTTATAATCAATAATAAATTATGTAATATATGATGATATTTAAAAATTATTGTCTTGATAGTAAGAAAAAAAAAAAAAAAAAAAACAAGCCATTACTTGTCAATTTAAGAAAAGTAATGACTACTGACAGATAAATAGAAATGAGATCCAGTAATTAATTATCACTGCATAGATATGTCATAATTTGTCCGTCAAAAATTAAATAATATTTATTTGAAAATATATGACATTTATTATTATCATTTATTATTTTAATCATTTATTTTTTGTGATTAATGACTCTTCAATAATATTAAGTTATTTTCTAATATAAAAAATAATTAACTTTAACCGGTAATGGAACCTTTCAATATTTTTATCGTTATTATTATCATTATTACTCTTATTATTACGTACTTTATTATAAGGGAAGACATTCATGGTTACGATGAATGGATTACTTTAATTGATTACATGTGAATTTTATAATAAATTAAATTGAATTTAAAATTTCTGTCATTTAGAAGAATAACGTATTTTTTCATTTTTTACACTAAGCTACAAGGATTTATTTTTCCTCTTTATTATCGGTTTAGTCGAGTGAAAGTACGTATATTAATTGTAACAACTAAGCGGTCACTAATGTGCATAGCGTTTGTGGTGATAATTATATATTTACTTTAATAATAATAATAATAATAAAATAATTACAACGAATAAATAAATGTCAAGTTATAAAATATTATTTTAAAATTAAATTATTATTTTTAAAAATAAGATTAAAAATAAAAATTACGTTATGTCCTAATTTATATAAATTTAATAAGACGTTATTTACAATAATAATTAATGGAAATAATTTTGTTGTAATGTTTAAAAATAATTTTTCACCACGTGTGCACCCGGCACTTTTTTTAAATTTATTTATCTAATTATCTAGTTAATAAAATATTATATCACGCTACAGGTGCTATAAGACCGTATAAAGTAGTTTTTTTTTGTACATATGGGCTAAGGTAAAAAATATTAACAGTAGATTATTATAAGCCAAGTGCGGTAATGAGTTGGTGTAACAAAAATTTGTTGTTTTAATTTTTTCAGATTTTTTTCAGAAGTTAAAATAATAAAAACTTTACGGTTGAAGATTATAATTAAATCGGTCCGAAAAAACAATTCATTATACGTCCTTATGGTTGCCGTGTGCTCGAAGGGCGCATAATAATTACACGCCCTTATGGCATCTGTAACGTGATATATTTACCATACGACAAATACTTTTTTTATACTGAAAAAAATTATAATGAATTTTTAATACTCATTATTACAAGCTGACAAATATTTAAATGTTTTTAATTTAATACTCTTCTACATAAACTATTTTTTATAATTAAAATAATCAAAATTATTTTGGTAATTAAAATTTATATTTATCCAAAATACTTTTGATTTTTCATAGTTTCATTAATAATTAATAATTAATAATTAGTTGTTTACAATAAAAAAAAAAGTAAAAGTATTGATGATTGTTTGTAATTAGGTAATAAATAAAAACTAAATGATGATACAGGGAAAATTTATTATCGAGATGAAAGTAATAAAAGTAAAAGCAATGAGACCACACATTGAGAGTCAACAGATGAAAACTTTCGATGTATTTTTAGATCATCATTCAAGTTATGACTTACAATGGAAATATTGAGTAACAAAATCTATTAAGTATTTCACAATGTCACAAAAATAAAAAAAAATAAAAAAAATAATCTTCAAGTTTATCACCAGGCACGTGTATAAATTTCTTTTGATCTTTAAATTTTTCAAACTCATTCAGATTATAAAGATCAAAAGATTTAAATGGCTCGTGCGTTATAATTAACTTGGTATTTAATGTTTATAAATATCATTTTATTATGAATACAATAATATTTTTAATTCAATACTTTTAACTTTGATTTTTTAAATATTATTTTGACTTGATTTTTCAAAAATTATAAGTGTGATTTTTTGAGTAATCGACATTTACAATTTTTGAAAGATTAATTTTATAAAAATATTATTTATTTTATTAATTAATGTTAAGCTCTTTTTTTATAATTGCAGTTTGTTTGAACAAAAAAAATGTATACATTTAAAATATTGGTCAGCCTGTTGATTTAAAAAAAAAAATAATTTAAATTAAAACTTTGGTCGATTAAAAATGAAATTATAAACAATATAAAATAATTCACAATCTACCGACTGATAGAAAATAAACTTTTGACAATAATCTCAAAAAATCTCCTCAAAATCAATTAAAAATGCTAATTATTATTAATTTCTTTAAATAAAAAAGGGCTTAAATCAAATAAAACTTAAGAGCTTGTCTTTATAACTGGAATCGTTAATATCTATCACATTATCCCAGCAATTAAAACTCTGAATATTTTCAATAATATACGAAGACGCAATCACAAATTTACATATTATTTAAAATTTTATTTACCTATTTTATTAAAATCGTCTCCTTTTGGTGGTTGTGGGAAACTTAAATAGTTAATATTCAGCTTAACTGCATGAATTTATGCTTAATCTTCAGCTGTTGGTATTAAACGCAAATAGCTCCTATTATTTTTAATTTTTATTTATTATTTTTAATGATACGTTGATGCACAAACCCGTCTTTAAATTTATTGGCATGCAGAATTAAAGGCGTTTTTTAATAACTGGCTTCGTGACCAGCAAGTATGTACAAATCAGCTCCTTCTGTTTCACTCAACGTTCCTGAATGAACTAAATGACTCTCTAACATAACAACCCTATAAACAAAATATTAAACTATTATTAATAATAACCTAATTACTACCCGTGCATTATTTTCACAAAAAAGACGTTCCACTTTCAACATCATTCAACTTTTGTATTCATTTACGTCAATTATGATTATATTTGAGTTAAAAGAGAAAATAATGTTATCAGCACCCATTGAACTCTTCTTTATGAAAATATTTCTGTTCAATTTTTTTAAAGTTAATTGTACATAAATTTTTTTTCCAACTATCATGTCACGTGACAAATACCAAAAGGGCGTACTCCGACAGTAAGATAGGCCTTTGTGAGGCATTTTTGGGTTACTAACACCACACGGGCATATAAAAAAAAATTTTTATTTTTTATTACAAAATATGAAAATAATCCTACATCAATGAAGAAATATCATAATAAATATGAAAAATTAAAAATTTAACTACAAAAAGGGGCAAAATCATTCCTGGCAAAATTAAAAGAAACTCTGTAACTCATATTGCTGCAATATTTCTCCCCATGTACAACAATCTATTTTCTGTCTCTTTCTTTATATTTCTTTTATTATTCTTTATTATTACTGTTTATACTTAATTCCCCTTATAATTTTTGTAATATCAATATGTACAAAGCCGTTTGGCGTTAAAAGTATAATAAATAAATAAAATTTTTTTTTGAATATTTATAAAATGGTAAAAACATTTTTTCAGTTTTATTCAACTCTAGTTGGAATTCTCGAAAATTACTCAATTTTTTTTTTTTTACTGTTTTTGAAGCTATTTTGTGTGATTCAGTCTAAGAAAAAAAAATTCACTCTTTTAAAAAATGATTATGATGATAAAATATACTTAAAACTTTTGAAATATCCCACCTTAGTAGTCTGATAGCCATATTTAATATTTAATGTTTATTTTTGTAGTTTAGTAATGAAAATATGATTAATATTTTTAGGATTTTGTAACTTCATTTTTTTCTATTTTCACTCTTAGAGCCATTAAAATATACAATTTGAGACATACGTTTTTTTGGACTTCAGATTTTTTTATTTTTCAGCTCAGAATAAAATTTTTTTTTTATACGCCCTTTTGGCTTTAGATCACAAAATTTCAAAATTCTAAAGCCAAAAGGGCGTATAATTTGAGACATGCGCCTTTTTGGCTTTGGAAAATTTTTTTTTCACCATCGAGCGTAGACTATATTTACAAAGTGATTGGCAACAAAAAAATTTTTTATACGCTCTTTTGGCATTTGCCATGCGATGTTTTTGAGTACTTTGTTATTGAATTTTTACGAGCGAAAGATTCTTTATGTAAAAAATCAGTCATTGTTTTAAACACAATTAGTCAATGAAATGTTAATGAACTTACTTATCAGACCCAAGCAGCCTATACGTTCTGCTAGCATCACTTATTTCTTGTGTTACTTCACCATTTTTATAACTTCTTCCTTGCATACCGTGTTTATGGAATGCTAGTACACTATCAGGTAAACAAACTAAAAAAATTTTATTTTATTATTTATACAAATAAATAATATTTTATAAAAAGAAAAAATAAGAATTTAAACTTACTTATTGATTCAATCTGAAAATTGAATTGTAATTCAGACAATTGTTTTTTGCTTGTTCGAGGTTTTCCTTGTAAGGTTACAAACTTAATAACATCTGAAATATAGAAATTCGTTTAGTTTTAATTTCTTCCCAATGACCACCTTCTAAATGTCAATAAAATAAAAACTTACTGTCATAACAAATAAGAATAGAGTCTTTTTCAAATTGTGTTACATTAATAACATGAAGGTTCTCTCGCCTTGGAATTACAGTGGCTGAAAAAATAAATAAATAATTCATTATATTTTAGACATTCACTATATGTTAATATATGATAAAAAGAAAAATCAAAATTACCAGAACCGTCAATATCTTCCAATTCATCGCTATGAAACCAACTGGCACCAGAATTCATATTTATTAAATCAAGTTTCAATTTATTTTGTTGATAAGCCTGTTTAACGGATACACAGACCATGGGGTACTCCATATCCGGAGTAATTATCATCTCAAAAACATTTAATGGCGAGGGTAATATGCAGTCAAAGTGTTTCAGCAACATGAATTTATTTAGCGGGTCGTACCATTGCATTAAGAAAATTCCGGCTGGCGTCGCGCCAGACAAATACTTGTATCTAAAAATTTTAAATCAGTCATATAGAGTCAATTTATAATTCAATAGCATAAGCACAATAACAAATGAATCAGTATCGTTATTAAATTACCCATTGTATGGATTCCGTCCGACACAACATTTGCTACAACCTTTAGTATCCGGGACTTTAGTAGTGAGCGCAAATTTACGCGGTACTAATCGTTCAGGTATTTTATTCATGTGCAACGAAAACCTGTGAGTTTGCTTACTCTGCATTGCCAATAAATCATGCCTGTACAATTGCGGTGTCTTTCCTGTAACATGAGTATTTTAATTTAATCAATGTAAATGTGTAATTTACTTCATATAGTCTGCACACAAGAATTAAAGTGAATAAATAAAAAAGGCCATTCGGCAGCCAAAATGAAAGTAGATTTTTCAAATAAAGAAAATTGATTTTTAATAAAATAATATAAATACTAATAATGTATAACTTGATTCATAAATTAAAAACAAAATTCAATAATAAATTTAAAACGATTTAAAACAAATTTTGGAAAAAAAATATCTTGTGTAGAAAAAGTTTCTCAAATATTTATTAAACAATTGCAAAGATTATAAGATTTGAATCATAAATGTCCAAATTTTAAGTAATTGCTTAGGAACAACAGTTTCCAAGTTAATCAGAATTTTGAAACCGGATAAAGTTTTAATTGAAGAAAACAATATTTATAACTAATTTGTGACTTATTTACTGACGTATACCCAACGACCTATACCCAAAAACATTAAACGAAAGACTGATCAATATCGTAATTATTGAATTTACATCATGATTAAGCTATGATGCAGACAATAATTATAAACCGGCTGCAACAGTAAAACTGTTTCATTAAACGAACTCGAAAAAGAGTAATATTGAGACTATTACCACTTCTGAGTAGTGAAAATTGAAGCTTATTAAAAGAGCTTTACGATACATTTTACCGAATTTAATATCTTGTCTAGTTCAGTAATTATACCAAGTTGAAGTAGTAAAAAACGGCAATTTTTACGATTTTCAAAATTTAAAAATCCTGTAATTTTCAAATTGCTCGCCCGATTAAGCTCATCTTCGAACTTAACCTTGGTCTTGATCGATAGATAAAGCATGTTGAGTTTGAGAAGAATCAGTTATAAATTGAAGATGCTATCGTGCGGACAAGTCGCGTTACATCGTATAAATATCTATAAACTTTTGAACGAACTACATTTTCTGACTCAGCTCGACAAACTGAGTCAGAAAATGGCTAAATTTTTTAAAACCTGCGCCATGAGGACGGCTGCAATAGTTAGATTTTTATAAAATCTACTAATAAATAAATGAATACGTGATTTACCTGATAAAGACATAAGGACATCTTTGATAACGTACATCCATATCGTACGTCTTGGATACAATTGATCAATTGCCGTTTCATGTAATTCATTTAAATTTAAATTATAAATACCCTCTTCGGCGGCTATTAATAAATGCTGATCTCTTGTATCAGGATGTATCCAACTAGCTGTACAATGTATTCTCAATGGACATCCATTGAATACCTATTGGATTATTCGAAATTTTTATTTTTTAGACAAAGATGAATTTAAAATTTTGAAAAATAAAAAAAAAAAATACCTTTGAAAAACAAGCTCCCATATGAACTTTTGGTGTAGGAGGTAAACCATTGCTAGTAGGTCTAGGTGGAGTGTGTCTCTTTCTATCCCTCCTTCTCGGTGGTACTGGTGGTGTATCAGACAATAAATCTGGTCCAATACCTTCTTCTTCGCCATTACCCGTGGACTCTCTGTCACCTGTATGAAATTACATTTATGAATATTCACAACCAATTTAAAAATATTTCAAATAAATAAAAAAGTGAATAAATTGACCAAATTATTTACAATGTATAAAATAATGTTGAGTGGTTTTAGTACGACTTTTTTTTTTTTTTTTTTTATTTAAAAACTGATAAGGATTGATAGAACGAAAAAATATATTAGTGCAATCTAGAGCATGCTCTAAGTACAAGATGCGTGCTCCTACCATTGTACCGCGGAGAATCATCTCTAGGTCCACTGTCTGACAACGAACGTTGACGTTGGCCATTGATTGATGATAAAGACAAGGAACTGCTGACTAAACCATACAACTCGTCCACAGAGCTGTGTCGCCTGAGACTCGCTTGTGACCCTATACACCCAACCTACTATTTATACGCTACTACTTTTTAGTTATCATATTTAAATAATATATTTAACACACTAATTACTAACAAAAATTATTTTAATTAAATATTTTTTAGAGTAACAACTCTTTAAATTTTATATTTCTGAAGATATTTTTTAAGCATGTACTGAACAAAACCAACTATTAAACATATTTACTCTAAAAATCATCAAAATAAAATCTATGTCAAAATTGTTTTTTTCTTTAAACAAAACAAATATTTACACTAGTAAATTCATGCACCCACATGCTTTATGTAAATAAATCATAATAAACAATAAAGCAATGTCCATTTAAATACACTGTACAATTTTTGTCGGTACTTTTTACATTTAAAGTCATATTGAGAACACAACAGTGCAGTGACTTTTTTTGTTTAGATTATTTATTTTACATAAACGTGAATAATAATAATATCTTACCCGGTAAATTGGAGTAAAAGCCTCGATGTACTTCACACTTGTCCGAGGATTCACCGAGTGGGAGTGTCGCCCTGTAAAAAATAATTTTTGTTCTATTACTTTATCCGTTTCCAAACTAATAACGATAAAAAATAAATAACAAAAAAAAAAAATAATATTTTACATTTGTGATATAGTAATAATAAAATGATATAACGATGGTTAATGTATTGTTAATTCGCTGTCTATTAAAATTGAAGAATGATAAATGAGTGGTGTATTAAATAAAAATGATAATTATTAGCAATTAGTATTTTTTTATCCTAGACATAAATATAAACAAAATTTTATTATATGTTTTCTTTATTTGATACCGAGTGTTGTAAAGTGTGTTGTAAAAAAAAAAAAATAACTAGTGCGTAAAATAAAAAAAAAAAAATCTGCAAATAAAATTCAAATTATCAAATCGGATATGTACTTACTGCAGGGAGTATAGCTGGTCACAATGACCATCAACCATTGACATTGCATTTCCCCTGCACATATAAAACTATTGTCACACACTCAATGACCATAATAAATAACTTTTACATTGACCCAATTTATTTCTCCTGATTATTATCTTTTTTTCATATTATTCCACGCATCATAAATTCAACTAACTAATCCCAGCATGTTATTATTTATTAACAATTGGTTATTTTTTAAACTAATCATCCATATCCTTATTCATATTCATATCCATACAAAATTATCATATTGTAAATAAATACCCTGTACTATTTTTATTAGTTGACACAATTTTTTGTCATAAATAAAAATATGTTTTAATAGGGAACAAGTACAAGACCATAGCTATTACGAGTTTGTTTGTTGATTGATTAATGTGTTATTAAAAGTAAAAGAAAAAAAAACAAATAAATAAATCACATAAGACTTGCAGGCATTCATATAAAATTAATTGAAGCGTTAGCTGGCAAGAAACCAAAGAAAACATTTTTTCAACAAAAATTTGTCGACTGAGTCTAAACATGGGAGTTTAATTGTATTTTTAAAACAAATTTAATGGATAAAATAAATTTAAATGTGATTGATAATGAAAATAAATGCATGATGTGAAAAAGCGTAAGTGCAAGGGGCAAGGGAAAAGGTTACCTGCCGATACCTTAGTAACAACTCCTCATCAATGTACTGCAATAGACTCCTGTTGAGAGAGAAATTATATAAAAATTACCAATTTATTTGATAGTAATTATTTTTTGAATTTAAAATTTTTTGGGGATTTTCATTTTTTTTTTTTTTTTTTGGTAATCGACAGTTTTTTTTAATGAGTGTAGTCGTGATAAATGACGGTCGAAAAATAACTAATGTATTTAAAGTGATACCTATGGTATTTGATTTATTAAACTAAGAAATTATAAAGATTTAACTTTAAAATTTCATACCATGCGATACGTTTTAGTAAAAAAAATCTCTACCATGCACTTGTATATTTAAATAAACAAAATTTTGATTGAATTAATTAATTAAATTATTCAATTGTCTACTGTTGAGTCATTGCTGTTAATTTGTTAGGTGGATCTAATTAAATTTTTGAAATAAATTAGATTAATCAACTGTGAAAATTTTTAATTAAAAATATTTAATGGATTGCACATGTGATAAATGTAAACAAAAAAAAAATACTTTTACTTTAAAACTAATTTTACCTGAGACTCATATGAAATATTTCAGTGCCAGTTTTGCTTCGACGGGACAATTTACTAATACAAAAAATTTATTTAATATTTTTAATGTACTTTTTAAGACAAATAACAAAAAGCTCGAAGAACATGAATTAATTTTTTTGAGAATACAAAAAATGTTTTTTTTTTTTTTTTATACTTTTTTCTTTTTCTTTTCAAGTAAATAACTATGAAAGCGACTTAAATAATCGATAGCCAAAGCAATCGTGCCAAATGCAATTTGAAATTTATTTTTTATACTAATTAACAGACTCGTGTGGTTCTTGTACTTTTTTTTTGGATTAAGTCCGTCGTTATTAAAGCTTTTAATATAATAAATAGAAAGCAATTGAAAGATCTGTACATTAATAATTAATTTATAAATTTACAGTTACATTTATTCATCCACGGTTATCATTCATTTCACCAGGATGTATTCTATACTATTGTTTAATACTTATATACATAGTAAAAAAATATTTATTAATTAATAATTGCTTACTTTTCTGGAACGTCGTCGAACGCTGTACCAATACCACAATCAGGATGAACATCACAGTTATGGACAGTCTGAGAAATATTTCAAATTATTTAAATTTATTATACAAATATTGTGATAAAATTAATTATTTACACTTTAATATAGAGCAGGGATTTTAAAATACAGATGTTAATTATAAAGAATTAATGTGAGAAATTAAGTTAAAAAACATGTGTTCTTAAGTGAATAATTAAATAGATCACATGTGCATAACATATGTCTTTTATTTTTTATCTTCTATCGGAATTTTCAGCTTCATGGTTTTATTATATTACGACTATTAATAAATTAATATAATAGCTAAATTACCTTAACATTATTCATGATGTCCATAATATCCCAAACAGGATTACCACCGTCAATTGGGGGCGTAGTATCTCTTTGTAGTGTTCCACTATCAAGGATAATTCGATCTATAATAAATTATATTATGAATATTAAGTAAATTATATGCCAATGAGATTAATTATTAATTTAATACCATCACTGTCTAATTGAGAGATAGGACTCTTTGGTCTAGGTCTCGATGTATGTCTTGAAGCTATTCTCTGAGGTACATTTGGCACAGCTCCGTCTTCGTCAGCCTCTAAATCAGTAAACATATGACTCGGATTCGATACTTTTTGTAATAATTCTAACGCCAGCCTTTTATTCATTTCTCCTTGAAAAAATGCATGCTGTAAAATAAATTATTTATTAGAATTATAATTTAAAAAAAAAACGCCATTCGGTCATACCCAAAATGGAAGGTAGATTTCATAGAATGAATTATCATCTTGTCTCAATAACTTTCGTTTGACATGGAATGAAATTTATTTTAACATACATAAGTAGGTTGTATTACACATTGCCTGAAAATGGTTCAATTGAACTCTTAACTTCGATAAAATAACTAATAATGGTCAAAAAGTTAACGTTATATACGTCAAATTAGAAGTGATTTTATGAGTTTTTCACATAAATTTATCAAAAATCAGCTATCTTTTTGCTATCAAAAGTTATACATAAATAAAGTCACCGAAAACGTAATTTCTCCTATTTTGAATTCCTATCATTTTGAAGAGCTACTATTTCTGAACTAATCGAAGGATTTCGCTCATTTTAAGGCTCATGCAAGCTAATTGTCTAAGGAATTTGTATACTAAATTTTATTGAGATCTGTTACGAATTCTCGACAGAATAACATTCATAAGTCGGCTGCACTACACATTGCCTGAAAATGGTTCAATAGAACTCTTAACTTTGATAAAATAACTAAAAATGTCAATGTTATATACGTCAAATTAAAGGCAATTTCATGAGCTTTTACATGAATTCATCAAAAATTAGCTATCTCTTTTCAACCAAAAGTTATACATCAATGGTCGGTATACTTTCGGGTTATTTAATTGGGTTTATTGGGCTTATTACGGGAATTTTGATAATTTTGAAGAGCTGCCATTTCTAAACTTATCGATGGATTTCGCTCATCTTCGAACTCATTCAAGGTTATTATCCAAAGAATATGTGTAACAAATTTCATCTAGATCCGTCAAGAACTGTAGACACAATCGCGGCAACATCCCGCGTTATATTACATATATATATATAAATTTTTTAACTAACGTTATTTTTAAGCTTTACTCGATTAGTTAAGTGATATTACGACAAAATTCCGAGTAAATTCCGACATGAGGACCAATGTAAAAAATTTCTATGAAATCTACCTAAAAATAATAGAAAGCAATAAAATCTAAACCTGTAATAATTTTTCTGCAGTCGGTCGTTTCTTCGGATTTTTAGTCAGCGCAATTTTAACAAAATTGTGAAACGTCGGGCTCCATTTATCGCGATCCTTCAAGGTCGGAGGTTTAAATCCCGACTTGGACATGAGAAACAATGCGCGCATCGGATGGAGATCAAACATTGGTGGTTGTAATTCTGCAAGTTCTATCGCTGTGATACCACATGCCCAAATATCACACAATTGATTGTACCCGCCTTTTCTTTCAACAGCCGCAACCTATTTGACAAATCGATTAATAAGATTAATAATTCAGCAAGGATTTTTAGTTTACATAGTTGAAAAAAGTAAATACTATACCTCCGGGGCCATCCAATACGGTGTACCGATAAAACTTTTTCTTTTGTTGATAGTTGCTGTTATTTGTGCAGACACTCCAAAGTCTGCTAGCTTAACATCGCCTGATTCCGTCAATAATATATTTGCACCTTTTATATCTCGATGCATTTTACCCATTCCATGTAAATACGCCAGTCCCAAAAGCGTTTCACGGCACATGTATGCTATTTGTATTTCACTTAGCGGTCCAGTAACTATTTTAAATTAATATATTAATTAATTTAAATTATACTATACATTTCAGATTATATTAATTCAGTGAATTTATTTATCAATGCTACAGTAATATATTCCATTGATAATAAATAATGAATAAAATAATAATTCAATTGTAATTATACGTAACAAAAGATTTATTAAGATATTTAGGTTAATTTAAATCGGTCAAATATATTTAAAATAAATATTATTTAATAAAAATTTATTCAATCAATTTTTAGAATTTTTTATATATTAAAATAAAAATTTGTTTCATGTTATTTTTCAATAATTTACTGTGTATATTTTGAAAAAAATTTCACATTCTGATAATGTTATAATAGAAAAATAATAAATAATTTTTTATTTTATAAATTATGAAGTTGATGTGAAACGATAAAATTTGAAAAATATTTAAGAATTTATGATATTTAAAATATTGAATTTGAATAATAATTCATAGTATGTAAATAAGTAAACAATTGTCAGGCGTCTGTTATTGTGGATATAAAAAATTAGTAATAATAATTTACTTCAATTCAAAGTATCTTTAGAAGTACAAAAAAATGTATTAAAATAATTATTATTATTAAAAATTCATTTGCAAAATTAACAATGATACCTTTTTATTTATTTTTTCGGGTGTTATTATCATCACAAAAACTTTATCGCTAATTAGATACCTACTTATCCGAACGAAGAATTTTAAATTACGAATGGAAGAAAAAAATTGCGGCCCGTAAATAAAACAACAATCACCAGACTGTAATTCCAAGCACAAAGAAAAACAAATAACAATTATAAACTTACTGTGATAAATATCTTGTAATGAACCACCACCACAGTATTCCATACAAATCCACAATTTATCACGTCTCAAATAACTACCATAGTAAGCAATAATATTTGGATGTCGGCAATCTTTCATCATTAAAATTTCCTGCTGTATAATAGCAAAATCATCACCTGTAAAACGATACAAATATCATTAAAAAAAAAAATCGATAAATAAATAGTATAGATTAAATAAATCAGAAAAAAAAAATAACAATCTTAACAATAGTTATAAGAACAAACAAAACACTTGACATCACCTGGTTCCAACTTGATAACCTTTATCGCAGCAAGATCATTCATGGACAGTCTTTTAGCCTGAATCATTAAAACAATGAAGATTAAAATAAGGATGATAAATAATTAAATTTAAAATATAAAAATATAAGAGATTTTTTGTTTAAAATACCTTGTAAACATCACCGTAAGTCCCACTACCAATTCTTTGAATAAGTTCATATTCATCTTGTGGATTTCGTCTACTTATGTCGCTTGAGAGTACATTGGCATTTACCGCCATTGTATATCAACATTCGTTATATTTTATTACTATTTATTCATTTAATTATTTATATCTGTCACTATTATAAATAATATTATGTACAGTAGTATGATTATAAGTTTATTGTGATTCCAATAGTTTATAAATTACACAATAAGTTACTGTTATTATTATTGTTATAATTATTATTTATTTAGCGAGATGTCACACGTTCGATAGAAATGTCGCTATGGTCGCCATTGTTCACAACAGGACTGAACTTGGCCGCGTATGGATCTGTTTTTTTAGTCTCTAGTTCGCGGCCTCTTTCAGCTGGTGCTGCCACATGGAGACAGACTCGCTGTACTTACTTGTCTTACTTGTAATGTGCTATATACCTATATATTATACTATGTATTACTCACAAATGCAATAATTATACTGATATAACCACGAAACACGGTAATAAGAGAAACAGAGAAAGTGAATGTCTTCGCCAAGATCGACCACGAAGTCAAGAAGACAGAAAAAGAAGAAGCTAATAACAACGTCAATGTGCTATAATTTTAATTACTTATTAAAACTGCCACTAACTTTATCAGCCTGATAATTACAGGCTTACTTTAACGTCTTATCTTATTAATTTTTTTTCTTCGAGTGGATTTTTAGATCCAAGATTCTCATCTTGAAGTATATTAGATAAATTTATAATAGGTAAAAATATTTTGGTGATTGGAATTTAATGTTTGTATTTATTGATTGATTTTATTTTTTATTTTTTAAGACGTCGGATGTATTTTGTTGAAGAAATTGATCACAGATAAATATATATTGGGTGGAAGATGATATTGAGATTAGCAGACATATAACAATTATTTTTATTATAAATGCACTTGTCATTTTTTTTAATTTCTAGATGTGGGAATGTTTTTATCAAAATTTTTTTCTAAAAATTTAGATGAAAATTAAGTTAGCCGACATTTAAAAATTTTTATGATTTTTTTTCATTAAAAAAATGATTATAAAAAATAAAAAAAAAAGTTTTCATTTGAAAAAAAATTTAAAAACTGTAAGTGCAATTTTTTAAAAATATTTTTTTTTGTTCTAATTTAATTATTAAAAAAAATCAAAAAAATTAAAAACGTCGGCTAACTTTAGTATCATAAAATTTAGTTGCAATAAAAATTGAAAAAATTGAAAGATGTCTGTTAATTTCAGTATTATGATGGAAATTCTGTTTCTGGTCATTTAGTGTCGAAATTAGTTAATAAATAAATCTTTAAATACAATAACATCATAAATTAGATTTATAACGATAAGGTGAAATTATACTTTAAGAATTCTCTATTAGATTTTTTTGATAAGCACAAATAGAGTTGAGGGTATTTTAAATTTCTTTCATAAAAGATAAAAATCAAAATTTCTTAAAACTTTAATATGTAAAATAACTTTGAAATAAAAGTTATGATTTTACATGAAATTATTTTGTAACATAATTTAAAATTTATGTAATTAGCTTCCATTATTGTAAATTAATGTTTTTTACAGATCATTCATTCCAATTATTCTACAACTTTGGAAATTCGCTGTGAAAGTAATTTCAAAAATATATTTATGTTTTTATTATTATGATTTCCTTAAATTTTATATAACTGAAGGTAATTTTGCCTAAAAATTTTATAAATCATTTTTGTATTATATTAGAGTTAACTATTAAAAATTTAATGGCTAATTTAAATACTTATATCTGCATCAGCAAACTTAGAGAATGCGGAAAAAGATTCCGTAACAGAATATTATATCAAAAGAAAAAAATAAACAAAATAAATTTATAAAACACAAAAAATCGTAAAAGAGATTAAAAATATTGACAGTGTTTTATCAATACTTCCTTAATTTACAAATATTTTAAACATATGATATTTCACAGTATTAATATTATTTTATTAAGTTAAGTATTAAAATTTAATCACAGATATTATGTCGTGTTTAAAAAATTTAACGTTACTCACATTTTACCGATAATTAAGTTTAAAATGTCATTACTTGTTACATTTAATTTAAAGAAATGTTGAACTCAGTATGAATAAAGCAAAAATAATAACAATAATTATGTCATTATAAGATATCAAAGAAAGCAAAAATTATACAATAAAAATAATATGCAATTTATATAAAAAGTTTTTTCCGGATGAAGGTACCTGGGGTCAGAGTCCTGTGACTTTTAGTCCAAGTCAAGTAACTTTCAATTAACGGGAAATGTTTATCATATCCATTGAATTTAACTCAACTATCTAAGTATATGTTTAAACTAAAAAAGAAAACAAAGAATGTCAGTCTATTGCAATGCTATCATATATTCAGTGAAGGTATTTTTTATTTATCTACACTGCCCCTCATATTTGAAACGGAAATAGAACCTACGAAGGGTAACAAGGGATTGCCGCCAGAAGGGAACGCACTCATGCAATAATGATCTACTGATTCGAATTAGTATAGCAATAAAATCAATTTTTTTTCTTTTATAATTAATAATTTTATACAATTTATTAATTGATATCGAAATTAAATTATTTACTGATATAATTGATTCTTTTCATATTAAGACTATTGACAATGTGAATTATCATTTTTTTTTCAGGAAAAAATTCATGTTCAACGAGCTTCAGCTAAAATTTAGAAAAAAATAAAAAATTGAAATTAAAATTTTTATAAATTTCTAAAACTGACTGTTACATTTCCGGTGGATTCGAATCCAATAAAAACTCATTTAGTCATTGTTAATCTGCTTGAAATAAACACTTCAGGTTAACGATCCTTCAATATACATTTTTCATTTCACTTAGTATATTCAAAATTTGAAGTCATTCTGAAAAAACAAAAAGAAGAAATTATTGCAATTAAATTTTAATTGTAATATTTTAAAAATAGTATTGCAAAACATTGAACTGTCTAGACTGACAATTAAACTTAGGAGTCTCCTTTTGGATACCAGTAAAAATAATTGAATATCCTTAGCATAATAAATCAAGAATTTTCTACTCAAGAATACTCTTCAATGATTATTATTCAAATTAACCTGAATTGTGGATGTAGAAAGTGAATCTTACTTCCAAACAACTGACCTGGATAAATATTGTTCATAAAAATTCCACAAATAATTACCATTATATTCACGGCATAATATTAATTATAAATATAAAACGTAACTAAAAGAAAGCGATTTACTCTTTACTTTAAAATTTTCTACTCTCTTGTATCTTGCATTAATAAAATAAAATAAAACAATTGTAATATGAATCCAAATAAATCGAATGATAAAAAATGTGCGTAATGATAATGATAGCTCTCATGGTTATTAGAGTATGAGAGTAATGTAGGCAGAACAATGAAGAAAATTTAAGCTGAAGGAAAAATAATATCTATATGTATATTGTATCTACATACGTTGAAATATAGATACAGACATATAATAAATGTATGATGATTTTTCATTGTTGGACATGGCCTAATGCAATGTAATGCAATGAATTGCAAGGCGTGGTTCAACACGTTCACACGTGTATACACCCAACTAGCCAAACAACGAAATATAATACACTGATGAATAAATATATGAAGATGTATTAAATATGGTGTATGGTATATGCTATGATGACTTTTTAGAGTTGTATTACATATATTTATATATACATATGCGTATACAATAATGATAACAGCCTAGACGTGTTCGAAAAATAAGGACAGAAGCATATAGAGGAGACAGGGTTGGATACGCACGCATGGCTTCGCACACACCGTTTGGGGCTCTGTGTCTTCCGCTTACACCAGGACTCGCCAGTCTGTTGTTGTTGTCAAAGAGCTTAGGTTACTTTTTTTATTAATCCGTTAGTACGAGTTTTGAGTAAATACTTGTTCTTTATTTACTAATTAAACTCATCTTAAGATTTCTTCTCAGTAGACGAGGGAAAAGTTCAAATTTACCGCTTTATTTTAAATCCGCGATGCGTCGAACTGAGGTGACTTGAAAATATTTATTTTAATAATAAAATACTAAAAATGGACTTTACTTTGTTTTTTAAATGTCAAGTTTAATTGTTTATTTATTATGATTAATGAATAATGGAAATTAGTTACATGTTGTTAATTTATTTTAAATTATTATTAAATATGGTTATCATTTTTCATAGTTAGAAAGTGTGTAATTGAATTGTATAAACCTGTTGTGAAGATTTATATTAATAAATTTATTTTAAATAAAATAATAATTATGGTGAAGATAAGAGCGATAGTTATCGCGTGTTTTATGTCAGGGGTGGTTTTTGTGGGTGTAAATAGTGAGCAGAGATTTATCGAGACTCCGCCGAGTTATCAAGAGGTTTCGAGCGGTGAAGACGTCAAGCTGGTTTGCAAGGTCCAGGATAAAAAGGGCCAGTGTATTTGGCAGAAAGATCGCAAACCGGTTGGCATGCACCCTGATAAATACGAGTGGGCTAACGGACGAGGTGGTGGCGGTGGTGGGGATGCTGATTGCACTCTTCTTATCAGACGTGCATCTCTCGATTTTGACGACGGATTATGGGAATGCCAGGTGACACCTGGGGATTTTACTCGGCAGGATGCATTAACGTCTTTGGCCTCACGGCTTCTTGTTAGGGGTAAGTTTTTTTTAGGAAGAAATTTTATTTATCTGATAAATCGTGGATTTTGCAATTACTCAGTATTTTTTAAATAATTATAGTTAATTTAAAGTCAAGATAGTAATATTGAGAAGTTGCATGTAAATTTAATAAATCTTTGTGGGAATATCTTAGATTAATAATTTTATTTGTTTTTTCTTTTTACATATAATAGAAATTATTATTTTGTCCAAGATTTTCTTGTTTACATTCATTGTTTGTATTCATTGAGAAGAAAATTAATTCTTGATCAGAAAGATCTGAAATAAGTGAATGGAAACAATGATATTTTTATTAAAAATACTGTGTTTAAATGATTTTTTAAAATAATTCAGTTATATGTTTTCAATTCCAGAATATATGATAATGATTGACAAAATTAAAAACCTTGGGCTATTTATAAGTACCTTCACTGAAGATTTTTATTTTTGCTCAGTGCAATATAATACCATTGTTAAGAAATCAAATCATTAAAATAATTAATTTGGTATACAGAAGAACGAAATTAAAGTTAACAGTCAATAGAGAATTTTTTAATTTTTTTTAACAAAAAAATTATTTTTAAAAAATTGCATTTTTAATTTTTTAAATTTTCTATATGTCAATTTTTTTAATATTTTTTTTTTTATCATAATTTATTTGTTAAAAAAAAATTATTAAATATCTGTTAAATTAATTATCATTACAGAAGAAAACAATTTCTTGTGCCAAGAAAATTTTGAGGAAGGACAAATTTTCTTGGCTCAAAAAATTTTCTTGAGCCAGGAAATTTTATCCTTAAGTCAAAAATATTTTCTTCGCGTGTAATGGATTAGATTAACCTTGATAAATTTTTCTAGTTAAACCAAGAAAGCCGAGCTTAGAATACGGTGGCACGATCATGACTGGAGCGCTTACATTGAGAGAAGGCCAGGAGGTCACTATTTCCTGTGTATCTCGTTATGGCAATCCACCAGCACTAATTAAATGGTAAAACACACATATATGTATCTATTTAGTAGGGTGTTGTAAGAAAACTGAGAAGATATCATCAACTTCTCGCAATAGTTATCAATAAGTTTTAAATATTGAGAATTAAGTGATCGTTTTCATTCAAATTTTCGAAAATCAATTTTTAGTCCGATCTCACGTTTGTAAAGCTGACATTGACTCGACGATTAATGATCTTGGCTATTATTTAAGCGAAAAAATTAATTTGTGGTGTTGAATTTGTTGCTTTAATTAGAATTTTGTTGTTTAATTAGATTCCGAGCAATCATTAATTATGTAGGTCAATGCTAAATTGTATCAATGCTAACTTTACAGATGTTCAGATCTCGATGTTTTGATTCCATTAAAATCGGTTGATTTATCCGACAGACATCATTGTCAAAACGAGTGTTTTTTCAAAATAACTCCCAAATTTCTGGTCAGATTAATTCTTTTTATTTAGCAACTTTATTATTTTTTTACTTAAAAAACTGCATCAAATGCTTTAATTTGCATCAAAATCGGTTTATTCAAGAACTATGAATTTTTATGCATTCCTCCAATTTTAAAACTTGAAGAGCTTAAAAATATATTACATACATTTTCAAAACCTTTGTAACTTAATCACTTACGAGTATTATATTTTCAAGCGTTTTGAGCGCGAATATAGCGGGAAGTTCCAGGGATGGCCTGGAGGGCCACAAATGTTTTTTTCAAGACAATTTTTTTGATATCACAGATATTATAATACTCAAAAAAAAAATTTTTTTTTAGAAGGACAAATTATTTTTTTTTGTATAAATCCATTAAAAAAATTTGGTAGAACATTAATGATTAAAAAATAATCATTTTCAAAAAATCAAATTTCCGTAAAAGTTAGTGAGAATGCAAAGCAATATTTATTCAATAAAAACTACTGAACAACTGTTGAAAAAATTTTTTTCAAATGAATTTTTCACGCCTCTGATTGTACGTAACCCTTAAGCTAAAATTATTTGCCCCTTATACCACTGCAGGGCGTTGAATTATTTTAATAAGTTCCCACGAAGTATAGTTTGTAATCAATGAAAAAATATGAAAATAATATAAATTTTCATATACTTTAGGCTTATATGATTTGTATATGCGAATAAAATTAAAGACAATTACTCTATTGGTCATCGCATCTGTTTAAGAATTAAATTTTTTTCACATAAACATGATATGTACGAGGAATACAAAATTAAAGCTTCAGCGAATGATTTTTAATGAAAAAACACATTTTCCCTTGTTACTAAAATGCAAACATTCAATTAGCGACTGAAAACCCTAATTTTTATGTTAAAACTCATGAGAATATTTTTTTAAAAGCAAAATAATGAAAAGTATCTTTAGCTTAGCTTTAATACATATTCATATGATATGTTCTACAATCTCTTCGCAAGTATAAATTAGTATACATTAATAGTAAAAATCTAAAAGTAGAATGACGAGTTAATGTGAGTTATAAGATACAAGAAGCACGAGTCCGTAACAAGACGTCCTCGAAGCATAGTAGGAAGGGCTGTCGTCCAAAAGGATAGTCTTTTCCGTTTCATGGTCTGATGGAGCTAGCCGCTCCTTCAGTTCAGCTGTACTCAAGTCCTGTGACTTGGGTTAATGTGCTATTTTTTACTTAACTTTATTTTACTTTATAATTGAGATTTAATTTACCTTAATTGCTTCAGGTTTATCGGCGGAGATGAGGTAGAACCACTAAGGGAGCAAACCAACGCCACGGAAGTCGACAGTCCTAAAACTTGGGCTGCACATAGTTTGCTGAGGATCAAAGGAGCTAGGGAGAATCATGGTCTACCTATCAGGTGTCTCAGCTTACACTCGTCCAGTCCGTTACCTGCTATTGCTGAAAGTCGACTTGATATTCATTGTAAATTTTTATTACTTATTTTTTTATCTTTCAATGCATGGTTTAAATTACTTAGACCTTCTAGAATATCATGGGTTGTTTAAAATTTTTTTTTATATAAAATTTTACCAGTGATAAATTTATCAAATTTTTTTGTCACTTTATGGAATAAAAAAAAAACTATTACAGCGATTGTTTTGAAATTTTTAGAGCATGTTTATACATAATTCAAATATATAACAAATGTTTTTTTCCAAAAAATCTTCAGTATTCTTAAAATTATTAAATATTACTAAGTGGAGAAAAAAAATTGTTCCATTGTTGCCGTAATTGCAGCCTTCACAATGTCTGGAAAAGAAAATGTTCGTTAAACTAAAAGATATTTCTTATACGATGATTCAGAATAGAAAAAAACAATACTTTCCCGATTTTCGAAAATTTTTAATTTTTTTAGCGGGAAATTAAAAATTGTAACTTTGGTTAGCATTGCAGTAATCTAGTTTTAAGAAAAACGCGTTTAAAGATAAAAAAAAATGAACCTTTTTGACCGATGAACAGTTTCTCTAAAAAGCTTTAGGTCAAAGAGCTAAGATTTTTTTAAGAGTTAAGATACATTTTTAAAATTGCAGTATGTAATTTTTAGAAATATAAATTGTTGAAAAATGCAAAAATCGATTTTTTGAAAGTTTCATACTAATGATACACTTTAAAACAATTTTAGAATTTTTAAAAAAATTCAAATATGTTCAAAATTTAATTTATTATTTCGATCAATTTTATAATATTTGTTCATTTATTTAATTTAAATGCCAAGACTCAACAGTCAAATGGCAAAATTATACAGTGTGTAATACAGATACATAGTACAAGTGAAGAAAATAAATTCTAAAAATTTCAAGATTGAAAGATTTATAAAAATTTTCTAATTCTATTATAATATTCTTAAATTTTTAAATTATAATTATCCAAATTTTTAAAAGGTGCACGGAAAAAAGTAAACTGTAATAAATAACAGTCGATTTATAATAAGTAACGATCAACTGCTGAAAATTACCATTTCAAAAAGTAAAATCATGATTTCACTATTCACATTGTAATATTTACAACTCAAACGTTACAATTTACTCTTTACATGGAAGAAAATACTATTTCAAACAGTAATATTCGCTAGGTGCACGGAAAAAAGTAAACTGTAATAAATAACAGTCGATTTATAATAAGTAACGATCAACTGCTGAAAATTACCATTTCAAAAAGTAAAATCATGATTTCACTATTCACATTGTAATATTTACAACTCAAACGTTACAATTTACTCTTTACATGGAAGAAAATACTATTTGAAACAGTAATATTCGCTATGTAAATGTCTAAAATGTTAAAGTATAATAATTAAGAATTCAGACTTTAATATTTATCATTTCGTACCTAAAAAATGATCTTATATATGTAAAAAGTATCAAATAAAGTTAGTAAATTTCTAATACAAGCAACGTCAATATTTACAAAGTAAAATGGTAAATTTTAAACGCAACGCTAAAAATCAAACTGTAATTATTGACTTGGTTGGACTGGTAAAATATATATTTTAAAAGTGTAATTTTTACTGTTTCAAATGTTAAATTCTCCCAGAGTGAGACGTCCTTCTCTTTCATCTGAGTTCTCCTTCTCTTCATAATATGGACTATATATTGAAATGGCAATTTTTACTGTTTGAAACTGTAATTTTTAAAGACGAAAGAGTCGTTATTTACTATAGTTACAACTACTAATCACTTATTTTGGATATTAAATTATAAATTGTGGCTTTTATACTTTCTACATTAAGTTCTGTAATATATTTACATTTTTGCCACCCCGTTGTCCACTGTACTGTTTGAAATTATAAAAACTAACCGGAATTCGAGTGAATATTACAGTTTACTTTTTTCCGTGTGTTTTGTAAAGTCTGTATGTTCTCGATTTTGTCAAATTCTATCATGTTTGTTGAAAATATTTTTTCAACTCTCAGTTTCTTACAACTCAAATTACACGGAAAAAAGAAATCTCGAAAAATTACATTATATAATGTAACGTGGCGCTTCGTGATGAAAACTGGAAAAATTACAGTTTCAGATTGTAATTATTACACATTTCATAAAAATTACGTTGTAGAATGTAATATTTACATTGAAAGCTCTGAAAATTAACATTTAAAGTTTGGATTTAGAAAAATGTTAATTCGAACTGTAATTTTTCTAGTTTTGAATACGACGGGACACTTATTACTATTTATAATGTAATTTTTCGAGATTTCTTTTTTCCGTGTATGTATGAAATATAATAACTTTGATTAATTTCCAGATTCACCAGAAGTACATACCGAAACTAGCCCACGTTTATTGACATCAGCATTAGAAGACTCAGCAAGTTTTATGAGCATAAAATGCATAGCTGACGCAAATCCACCAGCAGCAATTCGATGGTACAAAGATTCAGTGCCACTAACACGCAGTAATTCTATTGACTCATTTGGCCAAAATTCAACCCACCGTAACGGCACAATGAGCGGTTCTGAAATACGTTTTGAACCTGTAAAACAAACAGACGCTGGACTTTATACATGCAAGGGAATCAATGTCATTGGTGAAAGCTCACCAGCTAATTATCGATTGGACATTCAATGTAACTATCAATAAATTGTCATTATCATTACTAATATTTATTTTTACCTGTAACATAACATAATTTATTAACTAAAGAATTGTTACACTAGACGGCCCGCGAATGAGAATAAATGACCGAATGAACAACACCAACGGAGAAGTAGAAGTAACCGCATTGTTAGCCTCCACTGTTGATCCATTTGAATGCGATGATTTCGATGCTAATCCACCGGCACGATATCGGTGGGTTCATTTGAGAGGTGGTGTTCCGCAAACCATCGATAATTCTGTACACGGAGAAACAGGTTCGCGGAGACTCAGTTTGAAAAACGTTATCTGGAGCAACGAAGGAGAATATCGATGCGTTGCTTTCAACATCATAAATGGTGTTCGCAGAGAAATGTCCAGTGACACACGATTCATTTTGCATGTATCAGGACCACCGGAAATTCAAACGCGTCGTTATAATCATAACAATGATGATGACAATGATCGTCTTAGTGATAACATTAGTATGGATGAATCAATCGCCTGGGTTGGTGACTCGTTTCATATTTTGAAATCAAGGTTTTGCTCGAGACCACCACCGAGATTGATTGCTTGGCAATGGGGCAGTTCACACATACGATCAGGTTTGTTTATATTTGTATTTAACTAAATAACAACAATAACAATAATATTAATAATAATAATGATAATTAATGAAATGGTGAATTAATTATAAATCTAATTCCCAATTCAATTATTGACAACGGTAGCTTAATTGATAGTTCTACACACTAAAAAAAAAATTAACTTGATTCAAGAAAACAATTCTTGATTTAAGAGAATCATTTTAAAAAATTTAATCGTCTTGATTTGAATAGAAACACCCTTAAATCAAGTAAAATTAACTTAAACAAAGAAAAATTTCACAGTTAAAAAACTTTTAGTAGATTTCATAAAAATCTAACTATTGTATTTGTCCTCATGACGTAATTTTCCGTTAATTTTACTATATTTCGACCTAACTCGACAATCTGAGTCAGAAAATACATATATGGTTCAAAAGTTTATTTGTATATAAATCTTGCAAGCTTTTAACTTCTAAAAATTAAAATCTGAAATGGAAAAATAAATATTTAATTGTAATATGGTATGTGAAAGAGAAGATAAATTAATTATGAATTACGTTGTATAGTAATTGATTAAAAAAAATTTGTTTTATTATTATTTTTTCCAAAAATTAATGATGTAAATAAATCGGTGAAATATTAATGGCAACGGCTTATTATTTAGAAAAAAAATTTGTATTTTCTTTCTTGACAACACTCTGATATTTACTAGGATTAGGTATAGAAAAATCTTTACGTATACTATAGTGTTAATCATCAAGCTTAAATTTTAAAGAATACGAATAAAAGTTTTATTGACACAATTTAACATTTTAAGATGCACTTATTGAATTAAAATCAACATCAGTCATTACTCCTTCATATACCAGCATGTAATAGCGAGTGACTTTCATAATTAATTTCTCATTACAGAGAAATTAATTATGAAACCGTACAGAGGATTGGTTTGAAATTTTAACACAAGACGTATAACATGTTCATTGACTGATATACAAAATTTCAAATTGTTAGTAATACTATGCGTTTGGTCTCGAAACACTCTTTAATTAAATTCTTCGAAATGATTTTTTTGAATCAAGAATATTTTTCTTAAGTCAAATGAATGTTTTATTCAGGGCACGTGTAATCGGGGAGATCAAGATTTGAAACCTGGTTTGGTCCGATCCCGATATTTTTTAAAGTTATTCTAGACTTTCAATGAATTTAAATTGTGACTTGCATTTTTAACATATTAAATTTCATTAATTTACATTAATCTCACCCAAAAATGAGACAATGCGTCTCGAATATTGATGTTCGAGGTGAAATGTTGAATTGGGAATCAGGCCCTAAATTAATTCAACAATTTTTTAAAAATTAAAACCGATCTTCATATGTAAATTAAAATAATAATAATAATAAATTTTTAGGTGAAAGCATTGAACCAAAATATGAAGCATTGCCACTAGAACCAATAAAAGAAAGTAACGAGACAACAAACTGCTACTACGCAAAATTAGAAATACGTGATTTACAAAAAGAAGATTCGCGTGTTTACAACCTACTGATTGAAAGCGAAAAGGGACGCGATACGACAAGTTTGAGACTTATAGTCCGAGATCCAATGGAAATTAAAATAATAGCCATTGCTGGTGGTATTGGGTTACTATTACTGTTTGTAATAATCGGATTAGTATTCTACGCGATATTGAAAGCAAGACACCGAAAATATCAGAAAAAGCGTGCGGAAGAAGAAGATGAAAACAGCATTGCTGCGGATGCGTTTTATACCACAACACCCTCGATAAATAGACAGAAAACTACGGCCTCACCGGCTAATAAAGTTTATGTAAGGAAAAGCCCTTCCGAAGGCGGACTTGCTGTTATGTACGATTATAATCAGATTGTTAAACATTCGAGGACGCTTAGTCCTGAAGCATTGAAAATAAGAAGAGCTGCCGCTGTTCTTCAGCCACCTACTATTGTTTAATTAGTAAAATAATTATTAGATATTAATTATTAATAGAGTAATTTTATATATTTACATTTCATATTCATCGAAGAATTATTTATTGTTCCGCATCAGTTGTTGTATTTATAGAATATGTTATAAATTATAATCGCTCTTTATTATAATATTAATTCTATTATCGTGTGAAATGTTAACAGTGATTATATAATTATTAATGCGTTATTCTTATTGATATATTATTAATAAATAATATTAATTGGAGCTTTGTAAGATCAACAAAAAAAAACAATTAAATACTTGTATTTATTTAAGACTATTGTTATTATTGTAATAAATAAAATGTATAGAATATTGATTAGAATTATTTAGTTGTACATGTTACGAACAAAACAAATTTCGTATTGCGAGAGAGTTTATCAATATTAATGCTTGATATTCGCAAAAATAGCGAGTGTTGCGAAATAAGGGTGCATAGTAAATTACCGGTGAAAGCTGGCTAGATTTGATAACAATTATCTTATGAATCGGTAGCGTGAGGGTCAGCAGATCTAAGTACACAAAAGGAATCGTACATTTATGTATATATTATCTATGTTTATTTATGCTTATAGGCAACCGTTGCGAGTAATAATAAAATATGCAAATAACTAATGCTTCAAAATCTATTCGGTACGCTTGGGATTGATTATAGACAAGGGTAATGACCATATGAATGGGTTAACGTCCGGATATTGAGGGGTAGCATGTAATATGACAAAAATAAATGTTTTCAATACATATATTATGACAATTTTCAACTTGGATTTTGCTTTGAGTATCATTTCTAAAATGTAAATTTCAAAATTCATAATGAAAAAAAAAATTGTTACAAATTTTTCTCAAAAATTAGCAATCAATTTTTTGTTAAACAATACATTTTACTAGTAAAAGGCTTTGAAGGCTCTTTTTTATTTAATTATCTTTTCCTAATATTTTTATCACTCTTTTTTACGTGTTTGGTTTTATAATTTTATTTTTTTTTCAAATCAACTGTTAACTAAAAATATTAAATTTCTTAGAAAATTATCAATTAGAAAAAATAAAATTACATGGCAGCATATTTTAAGCTTATATGATAAATACGACTGTCAATTGACGAGAATGCAAAATTATCTTCAATACGCATGACTACTATAATATTCATATTCATAAATAAATGCAAATTGTTTCTAAGAAATTTAAGTACCACATAGTATAGAAATACATTACATCAATTATTAAGAACCTACAGGCGATCTGCGGTCAAAAACCTTCTACAGTATGGACGCTTTTATAAATAATAAAATATGCAAATCTTAGTCTTGTGAATATATTAATAATACTATGGAGAATGCAAACTGATAGGACAAAAATATTATTAGTTAAAAATTGACCATGAAGAGCGTAACAACAGATCAACGAATTAATTGGACCGAGGAATCAGTAAATGCATTTGGATTGTACAAATACATGATGCAGGTTATTTGTTCGTGGCCACTAGAATTTAGAAATAATTATTGGAAAATTCGCATTGTGTTATTATTTATATATTTGGTAATATGAGTTTATTATCAGGCGCTAAATACGTATGTTTCAATTTTTTTTAACATTTTTTTAGTACACTGTAAAAAAAACCGGTGTAAGTCCAGTGTTAAAATTACCGGTATTAAATTTAACACCGAAATCGGTGTTAAATTTAACACCGAAATCAGTGTTATAATAACACCGATGTAACACCGTTAGCGGTGTAAATATTTTTTTTTCGGTGTTAAAACGGTGTTATAAATTTTCTGGCGATATAAATTTATTTTAATTAACACAATATTTATAATCGAACCGTACATTTTTAATAATTGGAAATAAATAATAAAAGAGGAAGATATTGATGTTTAAAATTTTTTTACTAATATTCATTTACTAAAAATGGAATGAATTGAACGAAAATGACAATATTTTAAAACTCGGAAAAGGAAAATTTAAGAAGCTCGAAAATTTATTTGACAATATTCCATATCATGAAGTAAACTCTGATGAAGCTTTAACTCTGAGCAGTGTAGTTTATGAAGTATCAGAGTTTGAATTTCACTTTACCTTCAAAAAAAATTATTTTATTCCTTTATGTATCGATGTCGACTTAACAGATTTACCAATTTTCGGTGAAATCAAAAATATTTTCGTTAATGATAATAATTTAATGTTTTACTGTAAATTATGGGAGACTGTTTGTTATGATGCGAGCTTATGTGCAAATGAAATAATTGAAGAAATGGAAGAAAAATATCAAATTATTAGTTTTTCGGATTTGAAATTTCCACTACCTTATGAAAAACATCAATGTTATGATAAATGTACACTGTAAAAAATTTCGGTGTAAAAGTTGGACTCAGAGACTTTTACACCGTCGTGTAAGTGTGAAAAGTCGGTGTAAAATTTCCTTCGTGTGAAATTTTCACTCGTGTAAATTTAACACGGTGTAATTTACTGTTTTACACTATTCCGTGTTATTATTTATAACTTTGCAAACTTAATATGTGACTGCCGTGACTTGTGAACTATAAATAAATAAAATTTTGCTTTATTAAATAATGACTTTTGTTAAATTGCACTGTACTTTTTTAACTAATGACTTTTTTAAAGATATAAGCTCATCCCGATGATACAATCATCAAGAGCTTTCATTTGAGTACCCACACGCATTTTGATATATTTTTTATATATTCATATATATAATATATATAAATATATGAAAAAATGATATGGGTACTTAAATGAAGGGTCGTGATGAGTTTAAGATCGAGATGAGCTTATATCTTAAAAAATGTCAATAATTAAGAAATGACCTTGTATCTCGTGAACTATTGACCTTTTTAAAGATGTAAGCTCATCCCGATGTTA